TCTCTGTGTTGGCCTCTGTCAGCTGGTCCCAATCCGTGTGTCTGGCTGGTTGAGTATACTCTCCCTAAACAAACCACAGTGTCTTGCTAATCCTGGGCTTCTGCCTTACATTACAGCCATCAATTTAAGACCTCCGGGCCTCCTAATTCATTGTGCTGTGGGTCGCTGTCAAATACTCCACCGCACACATGGTTTCCAGTATTACGCTGTACATTTGTGTGTGTTCAGCAGCGTCTGTCAGACATGGCAACACGTGTGGCTGTCAGTGCTGTGCATGTCTCCCTGGTCCTGTGTAAGCGTATCTCAAACACTTCCACACACATGGTTTTCAGTCGTATATGAGGGGGATTGTGTTGCTGCTACTGTGTGTTGCTGCTGTCGTAGTGAAGGAGTGCGGAGCTGTGGGTGTCAGGGTTACACTGACCTGGCTTTTAAAAGTCTGATGCCTGTAGGAATATCAAAAATTCAAACTGACCTTTAAAGGAACACTCTAGGGAATTTTTTTCCTATGAAAGCAGTTATATTGTGGCTCTGGAGAATCATGGTCAAATCTGACAATGTGCAATGGTGCAGAGTGCAAAGGGTGATGCAATAAATGATTAATGAAGCAGGTTGCTCTATATCAGGCATGTCCAAAGTCCGGCCCGCGGGCCAATCACGGCCCAAGGTCAGATTTTATACGGCCTGCGCCTTCTGTCTTAAAATGCATTATTTATGGCCCGCCAGCACAGTCAAACAGAATGAATAAATCATACAAATTCAACATGCAATTCCTCTTTTTACCTCATGGTGGCAGCACCACTTTGTAACTGTCTGGCTGTTTAAAATTTGCTCTGACCCTTGAACTGTCATGGCTACAGCAAGTAAAAAAAGGAAAGTCGATAACGAGGGCCGCCGCTTCCAGGAAAGGTGGAGATCGCAATATTTTTTCACCGAAAACCGAAACAACTGTGTCTGCCTAATTTGTCATGAGACTGTTGCCTTGTTTAAGGAATATAATGTAAAGAGACACTACGAGACAAAACATGCTAATGCATACAACAAGCTATCAGCGAGCGACCGTGCTAGAAAAGTGAAGCAACTCCAAGATAACTTGGCCACACAGCAGCGGTCCTTTTCGCGGGCCCATGAGTCAAATGAAAACATCACCAAAGTAAGCTACGACGTGGCCATGTTAATTGCTAAACATGGCAAACCTTTTTACGGAAGGTGAGTTTATCAAAGACTGTTATGAAAATAGCAGAAAACATTTGCCCCGAGAAGAAGACAGAGTTTGCTAATGTTTGCCTGGCTCGTACACTGTGGCACGGAGAATTGAAGAGCTATCATCAGACATTAAGAGACAACTGGGAGAATTTTGATTTTTTTTCGTTAGCCTGCGATGAAAGCACAGACACATCAGACACTGCCCAGTTACTGATTGTTTTGAGAGGTGTTGACGATGACATGAACGTAACAGAAGAGATGCTTGACCTTAAAAGCCTTAAAGGCCAAACAAGAGGATCAGATTTATTCCTTACTGTTTGCTCAGCTGTTGATGATCTGAAACTACCGTGGAGTAAAGTTAGTGGGATTATTACCGATGGCGCGCCTGCCATGACTGGTGAAAGAAGTGGGTTATCCACACTGATCTGTAACAAAGTCAGTGAAGAAGGAGGCAATGCTATTAAACTGCATTGCATCAAAACAAGAAGGAGGCAATGCTATTAAGAAGGAGGCAATGCTATTAAACTGCATTGCATCAAAACATGATGTGATCATATTTAATCATACTGTTGTGTTTACAGAAGACATATAATATAGTTGTATATAATATGAGCAACAATTTGGACCTGCTCAAAGATCTGGAGCCAAGATTAGGGACCACTGTTTGTATATTAACTGTTAAATCACTGACGAGTAATAAATGGATGAAAAAGTATTCAGATCCTTCACTGCAGTAAACGTACTAATACCATACTGATGAAACAATAATCCACTACGAGTAAAATACCTGCATTCAAAACCTTAGTCAATATTATCAGCAAAATGTACTTTAAGTGCAGAAAGTAAAAGTACCCGTGCAGTAAAATGTACATTATTTGCCCCTGACCTGTAGTGCAATCTCAAAATCTCCCCCGAGCGTCTGTGTCAGAGTGATATCCGGTTTATCCCAAGACGAGGATTGTAACCAATTAGATGTAGAGATACAATGGCGACTGGGTCCGCCCACTTACTGTCAAAAAGAAAAACTAGTCGCGAGCGAGCAGGTAAAAGACTCGCGAGCGAGCAGTTTAAAGTTTCGCGAGCGAGCAGGTTTAAGCTTCTCGAGTGAATTTGGCTCGCGGAGTGATGTAAAAGCGCTCATCAAAGTAAAATACGTGCGCGGCTGTTTTCGCGCGCGCATGGATCTCATTTGCGCTCTCGGATTTTGACAGTGATTTGACTTCATACCGGTGGTAAAGGCAATTCATTTCATGCGCTCTAAAGCCCTATACCACCACCAGTTTCAGCAGTTCCTGCTTGACATCCAGGCTGAATATGGAGATGTGATATATCACAACAATGTGAGGTGGCTCAGTCGGGGATCCGCACTGCAGCGATTTTTCTCTCTTAGAAGGGAAATTGGACAATTTTTGGCTGAAAAGGGAGAACTGATGCAAGAACTGTTAGATGCTGAATGGGTGGCAGACTCGGCTTTTTTGGTTGACATAACAAAGCATCTGAACGCGCTGAACGTCAGCCTTCAAGGAAAAGACGCAGTAGTGAGCCAAATATATGCACACATCAAGGCCTTTGGAACCAAGCTGCAACTTTTCCAGAGACACTTGTCACAAACGGAGCCCTGCACCACACATTTCCCAGCTCTGCAGTAGGTCATGGTCAGTTTTCCACAGGCCAATATCGGTGTGCAAACGAAGAGGTATGCAGCAGCCATCGCATCCCTGACTGTGGAGTTTAACGACAGCTTTCGGGATTTTGCAGCGATTGAAGAGGACATGTTGCTTTTCTCTTCTCCCTTCAGCGTGGACCCTGATGATGCTCCACCTCACCTGCAGCTGGAGCTGATTGAGCTGCAGTGTGACTGCGAATCGCGCAGCAGGAGAGCGAGTGTTGCCATCTTCACTACCATGGAAGCGTTTAAAAAACGCAGATATTGGGGGCGCCCCCCTAATATAATGGTAGGGGAAACACTGCTTCCTGACTGAACTTACATACATACCTGTAAACTTGTCGGTTTTCGGCGAAATTCGCTGTTTTGAATTAAAATATGTCATCCACGTGAATCGTGTAGATCCATAGAGTTTTTTTCTTTTTTGGTGGGGGTCAACTGGCCAATCAGCGTTTCTCAGATTGGAGTGAGACGAGGAGAAAAGGTGATGTGTTGAGTCTTGGCCAATCAGCGTTAAGATGTCTACACAGTCTTCCCAACCTGTTTATAATGGAAAGCTAGTCAGCTTGATATCATTAGTGGATTGTATTGGCGTTAACGTTTAAGTTATGTTATGTACCGTTACAGTTCAGACTTGCTGGGTTAAGGCAAACGTCCACTGCATGCAAAACTTTGTCGACTGTTAATGTTCGTCATTATCGCGATTTAGGTAGAACAATTGTAACGTGATGAAACATGCAACCCCCCCGTGTTCCGGTTCAGTTCCCGCGGTCACTCATTAACGTTAAACCAGAACACCGGCGGATCTGGTTGCAGTTTTTTTTCTTTAAACTCAAAGTAGAATTTCATCTGTGCTGTAATATGACAAAAACTTTTGAAAATGAGATCTCGGTCTCTATGGATTTTGTCTGAATAAAGGTTAATAATAATAATATTGATTGAAAAAAACAAAAGAAGCTAACTAGCCAGCTGTACAACTAGAGCTGAAATACTGATTAATAACTGAATAATAAATTAGTTAGTAAATGTCTTATCAGTTAATTTTCTTCTCAGAGTACACCAGAATGATACATTTCAAAGCTCATATTTAAAATAAAATTCTCCCCGGGCAGCATGCCCCCGAACCCCCCGACAGGGTTTCGGGTTCGGGTGCTTGTCACCTTTTTCACCTCTTATGAGTTTGCAGGTATGTACTTAGCTAGAGCTTCATTTAGTTACCACAGCAACCTACTTTATAACCTTGGCCGCCACAGCCAACCCAGTTATTACACAACTGAACTGGGTAGAGCCATGGCCTATAGCCCTGCTGGGGTCAAAAGACAAGCAGTAGATGTAGTAGTGTGCACACCACAATCCCCAGTTCATCAAGGAGCACAAAGGAACATGTAGCTGTATCATGCACAGAGGGGAGGTCAGTTGCAAGACTACTGACAGACACCCCTCCCTTTTCACCAGTCCTGCATTGTTCCAGCGAGCACAGACCCTAAAAAAAAGAGACCAACATATCCAAGACAATGGACAGAGCATCAACCATGCTGCCACCTTATATGTCCTTAAAACTCAGGGCATTTAGTTCATTCTGACTCTGAGCTGAGGTCAGTGCAACCTGCAAAGCTGACTTGAATGACAATGCCTTCAGAGCGTTCTGATTGGCCGCCTACGCTTCTGCAATTTTTAGTTGGTGAATGCATGCTCGTGATTGGAGGAGAGTATTACCCATAGAGTGCAGTAGAGGGTGGAGCCTGTGTGAGTTAGAGCCTAAATACAGTTTGGCTCTAACTCCAAGTCTCAGCTTTCCTTATACTGGGACCCCATTTTTAGAATAGGCAAAAATAACATACATATTGCATGCAAAAAACTGCATGTTTTTTTTATTCCAAACTGCATTTATACATTGCCATAAAGTGTGCCTGTCTGTAAAGGGAAGATGCGTGTGTACTCATAGAACCCGTTTTCATTCAAATATCGTGAGGTCAAGGGACCCCTCTGAATATGGCCGTGCCAGTCATTCCCTCGCCTACATTTTGAGTGTTATTTGGCCTTCTTTATGACAAGCTAGCATGGTTGGTACCAATGGATAGATCTACACAAATATACTAAAGCAGCTATTCTTTCTCCTTTTTTGTAGATGTCATTTCTCCTACACACTTCAACCCATACTTCAGGCGGCTGACGTTTGATGTGTCTTCCATGGAAAAGAACGCCTCCAACCTTGTGAAGGCTGAACTTCGGATCTTCCGTCTTCAAAACCATGGGGCCCGAGTGTCTGAGCAGCGCATCGAACTCTACCAGGTACACACACGTTCCACTGGTCTGATATCAGGAGCTCCCAGGGATCTCTAACAATGATTCAAGAGATACTTTTGGAATTTATTCAGGCTAGGAAGGATTTTACTAAATAAATAGACAAAATTGGCATTGTTGTTTTTACATTTTTGTTTTTGATTGTGCTTTTGTGATTTTCCCTCACTTACAGACTTTTAAGCGTCATAAGACATTTCTTTAACATAATGTGGATTTTAATGAAGTATCCAGTCAAACTTGATTTTGTCAATATTAATCAGACTACAACCGGAATGTTTCAGATACCAACATCTTATCCCGTTGCCAACAGATTCTTCATATCTGCAATCAGAGTTTATGCTTACAGTTAAGAGAGATTGTATACTAACCTTACATGGCGAGACTTAAAAAATAAAAGTATTTACCCGAGGATAAGGTCACGGAAACATATTTTTTGACAATGGATTTCAGATTTCTGGCTAGCTAGCTAAAACTGCGACACACTAGTGACAGAACAAACACCACAGGGTGATAATATCGCAGATGTGATTGGCTATGTTTCCGGCTATATCACCACCATGGTCTGTGTTTTTTTGTCTGTCTTTTTGTCATTGGTTTTATGCAGGAGAAAGCTAGTTAGCTATCTACCAGGAGATTTGTTTTTAACGATGCTAGCTACCCTGATAAAAACATGACGGCAGACTTTCAATGCTACTTTGGTTTTGAGGTTGTGAACCCAACCACTCACAAAATAGTTGTATACCTTTAGACCAGTGGTATTCATTTGAAGTTCAACGAGGTCCAGTTAGAGAGGATTTCCTCATGCAAAGATTCAGAACATCACAATAATGTCTGATGATTCAGTCCCAAATATATTGAAGTAGCCAACAGTTGTATTAACATCTGTATGTATACCAAGATGGCGCCGCGGATGGCAGCCTCGGTACTGCACTATCTTGTACTTTTTCTATTTTTGTTTGTTTGTCTTGTTTCCAGCTCTCCCTCTCTGATCACATTCAGTAGAGAGGAACTTTTAAACATCCATCTATCCATTGGCCAAACCTTTTTGCCGCATTTCATCGAACCAGAAAGTTTTTCAGAGATTTTAGTTGGGGGAGCAGCGGCTCTACTCGGAATTTATCGGAGACGCCAACGAGGGAAGCGAGCAGGAGCGCTCCTTAATCTGCGCCGACGGGGACTCAGAACTGCGCTCCCATCAATTCACCTGGCGAATGTCCGCTCTCTGGCCAACAAGATGGATGAGCTGCTGCTCCTCAACAAACTGAAAAAGGACTTTAGCAGATCCGCCGCCCTGTGCTTCACTGAAACCTGGCTCGGTGAGCACATCCCGGACAGCGCACTACATCTGCCGGGCTTCCAACTCCTCCGAGCGGACCGCGTAACGGCGCTGTTGGGAAAAACGAGGGGAGGCGGAATCTGCTTCTACAGTAACGGAGGTTGGTGTACAGATGTCCCAGTGTTTTAAAGGAATCATGCAGCCCTCACTTAGAAACACTTTTCATAGACTGCAAACCATTTTATTCACCGCGGGAGTTTTCCTCGTTCATTCTGATCGGTGTTTACATCCTCAGGCCTGTGAGAGTGAGGCGCTGCAACACCTGGCTGAACAGATCAACAACATGGAGCACAAACACCCATTGTTCTTGGGGACTTTAACAGAGCAAACCTCAGCAAATAATTGCCTAAATACAGACAGCATATTAAGTGTAGCACCATGGACAAAAACACACTGGACCACTCAGAGATCAACTGTGAAGTCTTGGCGATCCTGTGTCGAGCCCCGGGTTTCACACAGTTGATTCAGCCTGCCTGCCAGCCGCGGACGCGGATTAGCCACTTTCCGGCTAGGATCCGAGCGGAGCGCGAGGACGGTCCTCCGTGTTTGACGTGACTGTTTACCTGTCGGCTTCGTCTGCCGCTCAGAGGGTTTTAGCCACTTTCCGGCTTGGACCTTGTTTTTTCCCCCTGAATGAGAGAAATAAATATCTTGGTTTGAGAAAGAACTCTGCTGTCCTGTGTCTGCATTTGGGTCCATGAACACACCACATCATAACAGCTTCGTCGGGTCAAGGAGGAGGCCTACAGAAGTGGGGACAGGATCCTGTACAACCAGGCCTGAAACACACTGACGAGGGAGATCAAGAGAAGCTACACTGAAAAGCTGGAGAAAAAGATTTCAGCCAATGACCCCTCATCAGTTTGGAGAGGCCTGGAAGTACTCACCAACTACAGGAGACCATCCCCCCCCCACTGAGGCCAATCACCAACTGGCTGACGACCTGAATGTTTTGTACTGCAGGTTCGATAAGCCCACTTTCACCCCCCCACCTGCCCAATTATCAAACAACCACCAACACCCCCTCATTATCACCTCTCCCAACCGACCCCCCCACCGGCACTGATGATCTGCGAAGAGGATGTGAGTCGGCTCTTCCACAGACAGAGGATCAGGAAGGCACCAGGCCCAGACGGTGTGTCACCCTCCTGTCTGAAAGTCTGTGCTGACCAGCTGGCCCCCATCTTCACACAGATCTTCAACCAATCACTGGAGCTATGTGAAGTCCCCTCCTGCTTCAAACGCTCCACGATCATCCCGGTTCCCAAGAAATCCTCCATCACAGAATTAAATGACTACAGGCCTGTCGCCCTGACGTCTGTGGTCATGAAACCCTTTGAGAGACTGGTGTTGACCCATCTGAAGTACATCACAGGGCCCCTGCTGGACCCCCTGCAGTTTGCCTAATGTGCAAACAGGTCGGTGGATGATGCAGTCAGTATGCGACTGCACTACATGCTGCAACACCTCGACTCCCAGGGACATATGCGAGGGTTCTGTTTGGACTTCAGCTCAGCGTTCAACATCATCATCCCAGAAATACTCAAACCCAAACTCTCCCAGCTCACTGTGCCAGC